TGACAGCAGAGGCCCTAAATAATAAAATGAGGGTAGTTGCAATTTTTCATATCAAGTAATATATGCAAAGCCAATTTTCAGGACAAAATAAATGTAAATGAATTGTAATGCACACAGACACCAATGTAATACTCATTTTTTTTTTTTAGAATATAAGTAATGATGTTGCATCGAGTAAATAGATACCAAACATGTCAAGATTATAAAAAAACACCTGCAAAATGGTGACAAACTATGGTACCTAGAAGTGTCCATAGGTGATGCTTTCAAGACCTTAACAAGTAGTCAGTTTGGTGTTAATCATGAATTATGCAATTATTGTTTCACTCCAATGTTCAGAGATACTGAACATGTGTGGAAAAATCACTTACTGTACTTATGTGTGTCGGGCCAATGTGTGTGTGTGTGTGTGTGTGTGTGTGTGTGTGTATGGGTGGGGGGGGGAACACTTTTTAATTTTTTTTTTATTAACCTAAATTAACTTGAATTAAAAAAAATTCTATCACAAGGGGGCAAATAAAGGTTTGAGTGACAGTGAATCCTCAGTATTTAGCAATCACCATCAGGACTGTCAGATGGAAATCTGGCACTCAGTTGCTAAATCTACTATAAGGATGGTGTATGCAGTACTTACACCTAGGTGTAAGTGTGATATTGTATATTTCTCATTAAAAATACTTGTTTTTAACACATTCCATCTTTGCTTGTATCTTTCTCCATAAGCTGGATCACCACTGATCTATACTAGGAGCTGCAGGAATCAATGGTTCTCTCACTATGGGCTTTATGGACATTTAAGACTTTTGAAGTTTGCAGCTTATATTATATTGGCTACTTTTTTATATGTTTTATGCTTCATTGTATTCTCTATTTTTCATACACTGCTCAAAAAAAATTAAAGGAACACTATTTAATCAGAGTATAACATCAATTAAATGAAACTCCTGGGTCAGTAAAGTAGCAGAGGGGGTTGTTAATCAGTTTCAGCTGCTTTGGTGTTAATGAAATTAACAACAGATGCATTAGATGGGCAACAATGAGACGACCCCCTAAATAGGAATGGTTTTACAGGTGGAGACCACTGATATTTTTTCCCTACTCATCTTTTCTGACTGTTTTTCACTAGTTTTGCATTTGGGTAGGGTCAGTGTCACTACTGGTAGCATGAGGTGATAACTGGACCCTACAGAGGTTGCACAGGCAGTCCAACTCCTCCAGGATGGCACATCAATATGTACCATTGCCATAAGATTTGCAGTTACTCTAGGAGAGATGGACAGGGCCATAGAAGGTCCTTAACCCATCAGCAGGACTGGTATCTGCTCCTTTGTGCAAGGAGGAACAGGATGAGCACTGCCAGAGCCTTACAAAATGACCTCCAGCAACCCAGTGGTGTGAATGTCTCTGACCAAACAATTAGGAACAGACTTCATGATGGTGGCCTGAGGGCCCGATGTCCTCTAGCGGCCCTGTGCTCACTGCCCGGCACTTTAGAGCTCGATTGACGTTTGCAATTGAACACCAGATTTGGCAGGTCCACCACTGGCACCCTGTGCTTTTCACAGATGAGAGCAGGTTCACCCTGAGCACATGTGACAGATGTGAAAGAATCTGGAGAAGCCGTGGAGAACGTTCTGCTGCCTGTAACATGGTTCAGCATGACCGTTTTGGTGGTGGGTCAGTGATGGTCTGGGGAGGCATATCCATGGAGGGACACACAGACCTCTACAGGCTAGACAATGGCACCCTGACTGCCATTAGGTATCTGGATGAAATCCTTGGACCCATTGTCAGACCCTACGCTGGTGCAGTGAGTCCTGGGTTCCTCCTGGTGCATAACAATGCCCAGCCTCATGTGGCAAGAGTATGCAGGCAGCTCCTGGAGGATGAAGGAATTGATACCACTGAATGGCCCCCACGCTCGCCTGACCTAAATCCAGTAGAACACCTCTGGGATGTCATGTTTCAGTCCATCCGACACCGCCAGGTTGCACCTCAGACTGTCCAGGAGCTCAGTGATGCCCTGGTCCAGATCTGGGAGGAAATCCCCCAGGACACCATCCGTGGTCTCATTAGGAGCATGCCCGGAAGTTGTCAGGCATGCATACAAGCACGTGGGGCCATACAAACTACTGAGGACCATTCTGAGTTGCTGTAATGAAATTTCAGCAAAATGGACTCACCTGCTGCATCATTTTCTCACTTTGATTTTCGGGGTGTCTTTGAATTCAGTCCTCTGTAGGTCGATAATTTTCATTTCCATCAAACGATGGGACATCCTTACATTCCTAACACATTACCCCATCCATGTCAGTATAGACATCCAGAAGGAGATTGTTCCCCATTGAGATCTGATGAGTTTTCAAAGTGTTCCTTTCATTTTTTTTGAGCCGTGTACATGCAATGGCCCAGAGAAATGTGAGGGTTTCCATTATAAGTGGATGCAGTGAGGGTTTCTTCTAGTTCATAGGGCTCTGGCAGGGATGACCCCAGTGTAAGGTAAGCAACAAGTTTACATAAAAAAAAAAAAAAAAAAGACTCCTCCATGTGTCTAGGACACTGTCCTCATCCCCAGCAAAGACATGGAGGGATGTATTATAGGGTCAGGTTGCACCTCAGACTGTCCAGGAGCTCAGTGATGCCCTGGTCCAGATCTGGGAGGAAATCCACCAGGACACCATCCGTGGTCTCATTAGGAGCATGCCCGGATGTTGTCAGGCATGCATACAAGCACGTGGGGGCCATACAAACTACTGAGGACCATTCTGAGTTGCTGCAATGAAATTTCATCAAAATGGACTCGCCTGCTGCATAATTTTTTCCCTTTGATTTTCGGGGTGTCTTTGAATTCAGTCCTCTGTAGGTCGATCATTTTCATTTCCACCAAACAATGGGGCATCCTTACATTTCTAACACATCACCCCGTCCATGTCACTATAGAGATCCAGCAGGAGATTTTCCCCCATTGAGATCTGATGGGTTTTCAAAGTGTTCCTTTCATTTTTTTGAGCAGTGTATATAAATCAAACCTTTGACCTTTGATCAGAATATGACATCAGTTAAGGAAAGCATATAACTTTATTTAAAAAATGTATTTCTAAATAATCTCTTATTACCCTCAGTTAACCCATAACAGCCTCTACATAGCTTTTTTCTTTTTTTTTTTTTTTTTTTTTTCATTTGCAACTAATTTTACCATGTTTCGAAAAGAAACATCATTTTAGTGTCCTTTGAAATTAAACACATTGTAGAATTTTATGAACACTATAACTACTTAAAACAAATAGACAACACTGGTCTAAATAGAAAAAAACACTTTATTTAATGTGAATATGACACAGCTACTGTATGTCTATAAATAACGCTCAAAGTGAATATCAAACACACAAAATACAGTGCTGAAATGGAGAGATGGAGATTGGGGGCTGTGTCTTTAATCTCCTTTCTCTGTCTCAAAGGTGAAACATCAGAGGTCTGTTTAGACCCTCTATATTTCACAAAAGCACCCCAACAGGGCTCCTAAAAAATTGGAAGAAAAAAAATAATAACATTATACAAATAGAATAAAATGGTAAAAAAAAATAATTAAAAAATGAAATAACTAAGTTAAAGAAAACTACTGACCTCATCCACTGCCCTACTGACCACATCCACTGCATTTCTGGCAAAGTCCACTGCCATACTGACACTGTCCACTGCTCTACTGACTGACACCATTCACAGTTCTACGGACACTAGCGGCAGGATTGCAATGGTCGCATTTTTGCGTCCAGGCCCTAGCGTTCTGCCACCATGGGGGGGCCTAAGAAAGCAGGAAGGGGACTCACTGCAAAACATGTGAAAGGGTCCCATTGCCAGACTGTAATAAAGGACCCTGAGATAGGAGTAAAGGTCCCCGGAATCAGTGGGAAGGGCCTTGAGCTCAGAAGGAAGGGCCCCAACCTGGGGTCAGGGGGGCCCATCATGGTTTGTTTCTGCAGGGCCACGAAGGTTCTAGCTACACCACTGCACCAAGTGTTTTTTCTCAAGTGCTTGAGTTGTTACACCAAAAAGTGCTCCCTCGTCCACAATCAAGGGTTGCACTTACCAGATCCATATGCCTATCTAGGAACAGATTAGGCAGACAAGGCCCATGGCAGGTGCTAAGACTATTGTCCACCATTTCCTCAGCTCTCCCTTCACAGGTTCATAGACTGCAAGTAAACGGGCACGTCAAACAAGATTTCCAGTGGAGAATGTACTCAGCAGCAGGATGTTGTGATCCACCAGCCAGCCCCTCAAATCCTCAGACTTCTCACAACCCTTCCGCTGCTTAAGAGACACAGATCCAAAGCTCTTCCCAGCATCAGGCTCTACCCTCAACGTTTCGTTTGTAAAGGGGCAATGCTGCTCTGTAATATATGAGACCAGGGGCGGACTGACAACTCATGGGGCCCCCTGGGCAATAGGGGATCATGGGGCCCCTGTGTCCTTGCCCAAACTCAAAAAAGCCTATGAAAAAGGTACCAAGGGCATCTCATGGGGCCCCCTACTGACCACAGGCCCTCCAGGCAGTGCCCGAGTTTCCAAATGGTCAGTCTGCCCCTGTATGAGACTAGCATTGAGCATGTCTAATGGAATGTCTACAGTGTTTTATATACATCAGCAACACTTTTTTACCGCTTTTAAAATGAGCCTTTTTACCTCTTGGTTCCTCAGGCTGTAGATGATAGGGTTCAGCATTGGTGTTACTACTGAATAAAAAATAGAAGCCACCTTATCCTGCTTACTGAGGACTCGAGTGTCAGAACGTAGATATATAAAGAAAATAGTCAAGAAATAGATAGAAGAACATATGAGATGTGAGGAACATGTGTTAAAGGCTTTCAGTCTGACCTGCACGGACTTCATCTGTAGAATGGACAAAATTATGAGCGTGTATGAGACCAGCATTGCTACACAAGAACATATGCCTAAAGTGCTTACAAAGAAAAATGTAACAATGTCACACCGATGTGTACCGGAGCAGGACAACTTAAGTACTGGAGGTATCTCACAGTAGAAATGCTCTATGAAGTTAGACCCACAATACTCGAGACTAAATAAACAGCTGGTTTGTGCTGCTGACTGGAAAAAGCCAACAGCGAAAGACAGGAGGACCAGTCCAGTGCATTTAGGTTTGGTCATTATTAAAGCATAGCGGAGAGGGTGGCAGATAGCTGCATATCGGTCATATGCCATGCTTGACAGAAGTACAACTTCAACACCTGCCAAAGCAGCATAGAAGTATACTTGAAAGGCACAACCAATAAATGAAATTGACTTCTTTGATGAAATGAGGTCAACCAAAATTTTAGGAGTTATGGTAGAGGAGTACAAGAGGTCCACCAAAGAGAGGTAATTCAGGAAATAGTACATTGGAGTATGAAGACTAGAAAACACTTGGATAATAACCATCATCCCAACATTACCCATTATGGTGATCACATATACAGCCAAAAAGAATAGAAAAAGGAACGGAATGAGGTTTTTGTCATTAGTTAGTCCAGCCAATTCAAACATGGTCAGTTGAGTCTTGTTCATGGCGATCATATGATCTTTGATGTTGTTCTCTACAATAAAAATGTAGAAACCATAAAAAGTCAAAGTTCACATCTATGAATCATGGGTCAAGTGAATTTGTTAAACAACTAAACTATCTCTCCGAGCATAGAGGTCATCCACTTGTATGGGTTCTTAAGAGCTGGTGTTTGCTTTACATGTAGCGCACCCCTGAAAGAGCTGGTGATGAACCTGTTTTCTTTCCCCCTAATTACACACACAGCCAGACACACAAGCATTTTCTCCACTCTCCATGCTCAAATGAACAGTTTATGGGTATCTTTTTTTTGGGGGGGGTTTATTGGATGGGGTGAAGGGAGCATGGGATACTGAACACTTTTGAGGACTCCTCTCTAGATTACTTGAGATGGACAGAAACCATGTCCCACAAAGTCTCTAATGCTGATGGTGACTAAAGCTTGTCTTCAAAGGACCAAAAGTTACATACAGTCACTATTTTCCAGCAATCGGGTTATCTACTCACATGGCCACAGATCATCGGTTCCCTCTTTCTGATATCCACAAGGCTCATCTCAGTGAGGGGGATTCAGACTCTTGCCAATGAGTTTCTCTAGACCCAAACTGATTCAAGGACTGGGCTTGCAAATAGACCCTCCAGCTAAGGCTTTTACCTAGGACCTTAATGTCTTCTGAAGGACACCTCCGATATTCCTGTCCCAGGGGCAGAGCCCTTACACAGGGAACTCCTCCAGCAGGACTGGACCCAGGAACTCTGCTGCTTCTATCTCAGGTCCCCTACTATTTATGGGCTCTACAACCACCTACTGGGCACACCTCACCAGAGATTGGTTGCAAAACCATAAATATTCAGACTCATTACTCTGTTCTTCCTCCCACTATATTTTGAGAATCCTCCAGAATACAAGGGAAAGCAATCGGAGCAGCATCATGTGAGACACTGGACAGACCCAAAAAATCAACCCCCCTGCTCCACTGAGCTAACTAAATTTTCCTAACAACTTACACTGCTCTAGGAGGGCACTACATACTTTAGGTATATGAATCTATGAAACTTCTATACAGTAATGGGATGTTAATATTGAAACTTATTTGCCTGTTTAGGACAAGGTGACAGAATCTCCTGACAGCTAATCTTTACCACTCTCTTATACTTACTTGCCTATACCACCAATCCATCCTCTGTGAAGCACTTGGGAAATACCTGGTGCATTGAGCTGTATAGGAGAGCATATGACCTCTTCTTTCCTTCTAGGATACAGTGCTCAGGTCTGAGTGATGAATTACAAGCCCCAAACATGTCACATGAGGAAAGCATGAAGTAATTCCTACAGACACACTCCACAGTCTTGTAGAAAGCCTTCTCAGAAACGTGGAGGCTTTTTGAGCTACACATGGGAGCCAACTTCACACTAATTTATCCCATGGTTTTAAAATTAGATATTAACCCCTCACCTACCGGGCACTTATACCCCCTTCCTGCCCAGGCCAATTTCCAGCTTTCAGCGCTGACGCACTTTGAATGACGATTGCGCGGTCATGCAACACTGTACCCATATGAATTTTTATCAATTGTTTTGAGACAGATAGAGCTTTCTTTTGGTGGTATTTGAACACCTCCTGGGTTTTCTATTTTTTTCTGAACAAACCAAAAACCACTAAAAATGTTGAAAAAAAAAAGTTTTTTTCTAAGTTTTTGTTATAAAATTTTGTAAATAAGTGATTTTTTTTCCTTCACTGATGTGCGCTAATGAAGCTGCACTGATGGGCACTGATAGGCTGCACTGATGGACACTGATAGGTGGCACTGATGGGCACTGATTAGGAGGCACTGGTAGGTGGCACTGATGGGCATTGACAGGCTTCACTGATGGGCATTGACAGGCATCACTCAAATATGGCACTGACTAGCACTGTTAGGTGGCACTGACTGGCACTGTTAGGCAGCACTGATGGGCACTGATGCGCACTCATAGGCGGCACTGACTGGCACTGATAGACAGCGCTGACTTGCACTGATTGGCAGTACTTATAGGTAGCACTGACTGGAATTGATAGGTGGCACTGACTGGCACTGATAGGTGACACTGAAAGGCAGCTCAGATGGGCACTGATATGTGGCATTGATGTGTACTGGTAGGCACTGATATGTGGCATTGATGTGGCACTGATGGGCACTGGCAAGTGGCATTGATGAGTGCTTACAGCTGGCACTGATGGGCACTGACAGGTGGCACTGCTGGGGCTACACAGATCATCAGTGCCCTGATGATCAGTGTAGATGTCCCCTCTGAGTAATGCTGATTACCGGCTCTCCTCTCCTCTCCTCTGTCAGCGTGACAGCTCGAGAGGAGAGAAATGCCGATAGCCGGCATTTCCCTATTTACATGTGATCGGACACAGCTGATCACATGACCAAGCCGACATCTTCGGCTCTTTCCGTTGATCGGTGATCCGCTGTGTCTGAGGGACATAGTGCAAAATATTCATTCATGTTTCAGCTGTCAGTGGGGTTTCCCGTTGATAGCTGAATGAAAAAAGAATTGTCGGCATTGCCCGACAACTACAAAAATTTAAAAATAAAAATGTGTGCCCCCCCTATTCATATCAAGCCCTTCGTGTCTGGTATGGATTTTTAAGGGAACCCCCACGCCAAAATGTTTTTTTAATGGCATGGAGTCCCCCCAAAATCCATACCAGACCCTTACCCGAGCATGCAGCCTGGCAGGTCAGAAAAGGGGGGACCCCCCTTCCTGAACCATATCTCCTGAACCCCTAGATCCCAGCCCCCCCTCCATGTGAATGAGTATAGGGGACATGGTACCGCTATTCATTCTCCAAAAAAAGTGTAGTGTAAAAAATGACAGGAGACAGTCTTTGACAAGTCCTTTATTAAAAATAAAAACTAAAAAAGTCCCCCGAAGTAGATCCAACGTCAATCACGATGCCCACAACCACTGCTACACTGCTGCGCCGCAATGACAGTTCTTAAATACTGTCATGATGCCACAAGGGGGCGGGGGGTTCATCCAGCCCCCTTGTGACCTCATCACATACTGTAATTGGTAAAAGCATTGCACCTGACCAATCACAATGCACTGTCAGGGCACAGTGCATTGCGGGGGCACAGCGGACGAACAGCCCTCTGAATGCCCGTATCATTCGTGTGTTTGCCAAAAACACGAGCGGCCCATGTTAGAGTCGAACTTAGGTAGCCTCTACCTGAAAAAAGAAAAAAAAAGTGCTCCGCTCGCGATGCCGGCTCCCTCTGTCCGACAGCTGCGCCCTCGATGACAGTTCTTAAATACTGTCATGACGTCACAAGGGGACAGGGGTTCACCCCGCCCCCTTGTAACATCATCAGCGCTTTGATTGGTCAAAGGATTGCACCTGACCTGTGCAATCAGGTGCATTGCTTTGACCAATCACAATGTACTGTCAGGGAGCACGAACGGCCCATGTTCGAGTCGAGCTTAGGTTCGACTCAAGCATGAAGCCCATCCCTAATGGTCAGGTGTCCACAAATGTTGGATATATTGTGTGTGTATACAGTATATGGAGTAAATACAGTATACTATGGTGCTCTGGCATACTATAAGAAAGGTTATGTGTCATCCAGACAAGTTGAGGGGCTCCTGGATGCTTGTGTCATGTAAAGAAAACTAGATTTTCAGTTTTCTCAAAGGTTAGTAGAACCCAATCAAGATCCTGGAGCCGAGAAACTTCGTAGAGACTTGAGAGGGATGAAGTCAAGTACACTGATTGTGCAGGTGCGTGTAGGGCTTTTGTTAGAGAGAGATGACTAGTGTTCGGGAATCCACCATCTACAGGAGTCCATGAGGCTGCACAAACCTACGGAGCCACGCACACGGGGCGTTTTAATAACGCTGGTAATGTTAGCTGTGTAAAATCACGTTTAAAAACGTGTTTTTCAGCATTTTTTAGCGTTTTTGTATTAGCATTTTGCAGCGTTTTTTCACGTTTGCATTTTTTTTAGGTTATTTTTAGCCCCCAAAAAATTTTGGGTGGTCAAAAAAAGTCCAAAAACAATGGTTTGCCGCGTTTTTACCTCGTTTTACCATGTTTTAATGCGTTTTTCAGCATTAGAGCACTTTTACAGCTAAAAAAACTCCTCTAGAAACCCACTAGTTCTGAGATTATTTTTCCAGACAAAAAGCGCCCCTGCTAAAAGACGTTGATTACAGTCTATGTGCGCATGGACACAAAGGACACCATGCTGGGAGGTTTACTGGCTGTAGAAAAAAAGTCACATGCCAAAAAAAAGCCGCTGTAAAAACGTGTGCATGAGGACTGAATTAAAGATTTGTCAAGTGGCGGTGTTCTTGAACATGTTACACTTGAGCTGAACCCCACAATACATGAACAAATATTTATTTCATATTATTCTCAGTACAGATTCTGATGTCCTATTACAGTCATATAGACAAATGCACACACAGACAAATTCATTCAAAAGTGAATTATCTTGCCAGTATACTTTTAGTGTTTGAGCACCTAGAAGAAACCCAGACTAACAAGGAACCCTCATTGTATTCCAACTACCAACCTTATGCATACATAGTCCTGATGGGTATGTAGTCTTGAGACCCCCATAATGCTTGCAGTTATATTAAGCACTTCGTATAATATATATATAAGATACCCTCTTTTTGTGAACTCACCTCTCTTAGCACACTTGGGTGAACAGTTGACAGCGAACAATGGTGCTTCACCATTTTGTCTGTTAAGAACCTTATGCATATATAGTCCTGATGGGTATGTAGTCTTGAGACCCCCATAATGCTTGCAGTTACATTAAGCACTTAGAGCCATCGTATAATATAAATATAAGATACCCTCTTTTTGTGAACTCAGCTCTCTTAGCACACTTGGGTGAACAGTTGACAGCGCACAATGGTGCTTCACCGTTTTGTCTGTTGAGAAACTTAATAATGTCAATTTTTATTTAATTTGCTTTAAGTTGAACATAATTGCAACCATCCGACTCTATG